TGAGTCAGCTCAATTTAAAATACATAATCCCTATGGCTGTTGATTTGCTCACATTTGTTGCTCATGGCCAAAGAAAGCAAAAATGAAAATGCTCAATGAAAATATTGTTAGCTGAGATGTAGCTTATCAAAATTCAGATCTTTCCTCACTGTTGCCTGGTGATGCCTCCATGTATGACAGTACCTGTATAAAATGAATGATAAGAAATGCTTAATATGAAAATTCATGTTAAATCTCAAAGCTAACTCTCTGGTACTTCCTCCCTTTCTTCTGTTCTAACTTCTCTCTCTCTCCTTGATTATATAGACACAATTTCAGCTTGTAGTGTTTGAATAAACATGTGATGGTTTTCTGTGTCAACTTGGTTAGACTATACCCCTAATTATTCAATCAAACACTAACCTAAGCATTGCTATGAAGGTATTAGCTATGATTTAAGTCCAAAATCAGTTGATTAAGTAAAGGAGATTATCCTCTACAATGAGTGAGCATGAGTCAATGTGTTGAGTGACCTTAGGAGGAAGAAATTCTGCCTGTAGACAGCAGCTTCTAGAACTCTTCTGGAGTTCCAGTGGCCAATGTTATGGATTTTGGACTTGCCCAGCCAGCCCCCACTACAGTGTAAGTCAGTTCCTTGCAATAAATCTCTTCATATATATCTTCTACTGCTTCTGTCTCTTTGGTTGAACTCTGGCTGCTAAAGAACATTTTAGATTCTTCCAACATACTGGATGAGAATAAAGAGGCCAAGGAAGTAGATACCTGATTGTCAAATTGCTCACTTTAGAAGACTTCCTCTCTAAAATTATAGAGCTGAGCAGATGACAGGAATTTCAGAACCAGCTAAATAAGGAACACTATGTGAAGCTAAATTGAAGTCCAAGCCTACAAACTGCTTAAAAGATCCACATACGTGGTAAGAGAGATAAAACTGCAGTAATAATTATGCTTATTGTCATTTACTGAAATGAAAATGGTTTCTTCTGTTTTCTAAAATCTACTAGTGAATTTTTATTAGGTAGAGATTGAAATCTTCAGGTAGAGAATGCGATTTTCTTGCTTTTCAATCATTCTCCAGATAAACATACAAAATCATACATATTCCAAATGCAATCAGCTATTAGGACCTGTGCTCACATTAACCATCAGGAGCCACTTGAGCAATGCTTTCATGTTGTATGTTCCATGTTGTAGAGGAAGTGATATAAAAACTCAAAATCACTGAAGAAGTAAGAAAATTTGGACCATTTGCCTGCCTCTGATTTAGGCCTATGTAGATGGTCATCTGCAGGCAATGGCATGTCCACTGCTCTTTTATTTTTTTTTAATTGATGTATAGTCAGTTTACAATGTAAATTGATGTATGGTCAATTTCTGGCGTACAGCATAATACTTCAGTCATACATACACATACATATATTCGTTTTACTGCTCTTTAACTGGTGGGAATCTCAACAAAAATCCTGGCACATGTGTACACAGTTTAGCATACCTTGTTAGAAGTAAGTGGAGATTATGGAGAATGATTAAAAAAAAATCAGTTTACCTCTGGAGGGAATGCCTCTGCTTCTGCGAAAGTAAGAGGGATTCCCAATGGGAAGTATAGCCAGGCAAAGGGGTCCCTGTGACTTGGCCTGACAGCATCATTCTAAAGGACAAAATCAAAGTCATTCTTAACGGGAAGGCTGTAGATACCTTAGGCCCACGTGAGAAAATGGTGACCACGGAGGGCACTGAGGGTTATTCTGGAGATGAAATATCAGTTATGTGAAAGGATAGTTGCAGTCATTTAACACACTCTTGATAATAATAATGTTCTATCACTTTACATCTTGTAAAGAAAAACAATGCTGCCTGCCTTTCCAGTTCTACAAGCATCAAGCCATTAGCCACCGCAGTTGTCCCCTGACAGTGTGCCCTGAGGGCAACTCAGATGGAGAAAAACAGAGAATGTTCTGTGCTTTGGATATGCTAGCCTTCCGATAGTTAAGATGCATGCCTAAAGAAACATTTCAAATGAATCCAGATTCTTACATCTTCCCATACATAAGACAAACATTAAAATCATTTTAACTTGAGATGTCTGCTCTTTGTGATTAGCAGTAATCTTTTTATGCTTGATTATCTGTTTTTCCCAGCAAAAACACCTCATAGGTATCCTGGCTCCTCCCTTACCGCTTTGGAGCAGTTCCTCAGAGCTACTTGAGAGGCTGTCTCTCTCAGGGCTCTGGTGCTCAGAAAGCTCCCTGGGTGAACCTTCACTCACAGCTTGTACGTTGTGTGTTTTCCTTTCAGTTGACAATCGTGGTACTTGTCTACGTCCGGTTCTTGAGGAAGCAAATGCTGATGTGAAGTTATGAGTGCAAGAGTTTACTGGGGAGTTAACATCTGTGAAAGCAAAAAGGATTGGGCAGGGAGAGTTGTCACAACATATGGCGGAGTTGACAGAAATCTCTGCCCGTTCAGCAGGTGGCTCTGAAGCAAAGATTGCCCCTTAAAGGGGTCCAACGTCACGCAAAAGTGGCGAGATCTGCACCACTGCCTTGTTTAGTCAACAGCAGGTTGCCACTCTGAAAAATAGTATGGCCTCAAGGTTGAAAGCTGAAGGAAACTGCAACCAAACGAACAGCTGGATGGCAGCTAGGCAGTGTGTGCTTTCTTGACAGGGAATCCAGATGCCTTATCTCCATGTCTGACCCAATACTGCAGTGTGGCACTAGTAAAATTTCTGGTGGCTCTGTATTTGGAGATGAATACTGATTAGGCCAGAACAAGAGGTGTTATGACGTGCACTACAATTCTAAAATTCCACTTGCGTTTATAGTGGTAGACTACCTGCAGTGCCTTAGGTCCCTGCACTTGTCACCCCCAAAAGATTAAGATGGAAAACACCGAGTTTTGTTTAAGGCCTCTAACATCGGTAAGAATATCATAACCCCCATTTCATCTCAAGTAAGTTGCTTCTATTAGAACTCAGGGCCTCTGCTTGTGATGGCCCCTTACAGGTCACACTGGCTTAGTTGTGAAATGGGCAAAAGGAACTCAGAATGGCTCTTTAGGGGATGATCAGAAAGGAACCTTTATCTCTTACAGATCAAGGAGGTGGCATTTAAGGAAGTCAGACTGGCTTTTGCAATGCATCAGTATTTTCATTTTCGTTTTTATTTAGTCAGTTATTTATTGGTCTTCTTCAGAAGTTTCACAGTAGTAGTGGACAGAAAGAGACAAGGGTTATTTTGTTTGCGTGTTTTAGCGGTGTGTTATACCATGGTGCTTAATATAGTGAAGGCTTGGAATCTGTCACCACTTACCAGTGATTTGGCTTCGGACAAGTTCCTGAACCTCTTAGAGCTTTAACATCCTGATTTGTTAAACCAGGATTATAATCGTGCCTACATCATGGAGTTACTGTGAGGATGAAAAGATATAACACATGCAGTTCCTGGCTTGGGAAGGGCTCAATATCTATTAGCTGTTATTCTATTTCTTTCTCCTCTTTCTCTTCCTCCGCTTCACTAAAAAGACACTTTCCTGTTGAATTTTGTCACCTGGTCTTAGGATTAGCAAAATGTTCGCAAAACTCTTGGGAGGAGAGTAAAACTGAAAGAATTTGTTACTCTAACAAGGTTTAGGATGTCTGCTTTCCGCCAGGTTTTTGGTTGTCACCGTTATGTTCTCATTACAGTTCTGGGTGCATTAAGTGTGAAAAATGGCCTCTCTCCCGAACAGTAGTCTATCTGAAAAACAAATGGACATATAAATGATTAATGAAAGTGCAACTGAATATAAAATTAAGTTCTAAATGAACCGTATAGACCATAAGTGATGCAGGAATCTAATTTCATTTTGCTGACACTGGTTGTTGTTTTGAACATTGAAGGTGATACTATTCGGGGTGAAATTGTGAGAGTGAGCTCTTCCACAGTAATACAGTAAAGTGTCATGTTTATTAGCTTAGAATCTAAAATATATTAAATTAGATCCAAAGAAAGCAAGTTTAAAGACATTTAACTATGACAATATCATTACCTCTTATTGTTGTTAGCCTATTAAAATGCTCTCTACCATGGGATGTGTCCAGATGGCAAAAAGAGGAGAAACTGATCAATGCTTTGAATAAAACTATCAGGAAAGCTTACATTTATTCAGCTGGTGATCTCTCACTGAGTTTCTGTCTCATTGTTTTTAAAATAGTTAAAATAGTTTTTGCTATTTTAACTAGGCGATCAGGCTTATCCAGCAGGCTTCTTCACTCCAGGAATCTCCTTTGGTGATTCAAGACTGAAGTGAAGTGAAAAAGAAAGCTGAGACAGATCATGTGAGTTCATAGTTTTCAGGGTATAGAAAGCAGGTCTTTGGGTTAAAGAGTAATTTACGTTGCCCCATCATACTTTAACTTGCTAGAGAAACACGCTGTGTGCCCTGTCGGAGACACACGTAGTAGGTCGTGTGTGGTTTACTAGATAGTGAGATAGTCTTACAACGTCGCACACAAAGTGATTCCTTACTGTTAAACCCTTCGCAATTATTGATGTGAATATGACCACAAAAGTCCTGTATTCTTTCATTATTTTCTTGTATTCTTCCAGTGACCTATGGCTCTAGAAGCCTCGTTCCTTGGCGAGATACATGAATACCGCTAAAGAGTCCCTGCTGAATCCTTAAATCTCTCACTACCATGGAGACAACCTCACCCAGACCTAAAAACACCCCCCAAAACAAAAACAAAAACCTTAAAAAGATATCCCTTATCTCACGAATGATTTTTAATAAGCATTTTAGGAATGTCCTAGAAATGGATCTCTCCACATTGTTCTAGGCTGCGTGAGCACTAAGAGGACGACTGGGTGACAGCGTGATCTGTTCTCAGGTGTTCTAGGAATGCGTCCCTTCTCGCCTCCACATCTGTCTCTGTGCTGTGTGACTGTGCCTGCGCGAAACCCGTCCAACAGAAAACACCAATCAAGGACGGTGACTTTTTTCGCCCTCCTTTTGCCACCGCCCACTCCAGACTGGCTGACAACCTACACAGCTCCCCCGGACTTTCCTGACTTTTCCATCTCCTCCCACCCAGCTAACCCCCCTCGACTCGCGACGCGGATGGGCCGCCGGAGGACCCTGCGAGCATGCGCGACCATCCCGAGCATGCTCAGTAGCGCGCGCGGCGCCCCGGAGCTTTTCCCCCGAGCAGCGGCCGACGCGGAGGTTTCCGCGGCTTCTGCGGCAGCGACGGGAAGTGAGGCGGCCCGGCCGGGCGACCGCGGCGCGGGGAACAGAGGCGGAAGGGTCGCTGCGGCGACGACGTCGTCGACTAGGGTGACCGAGGGGGCTGAGCGCCGAGGGGACTCGCCTGCTCGGAAGCCAGATCCCGAGCCGGGCAGGATGGATCATCACCAGCCCGGGACTGGCCGCTACCAGGTGGTGAGTTCCTTGGCCCCAGCCCGGGCCTCCAGCGCCGCCGGGGACCCCGGGATTGCCTCTCACTGCGGCCCCGAGAGTCCCTTTCCTGAGTTATTCCCGGAGGGGACGTGCTGGCTGATTTATTTTTGGCTCTTCTGGCAGGACCTTGCTTCCTTCACACCCCTTGGATGGAGCCTGCCTGTGACTCCTTTGAGACCCTTCCCTCTCGACTCAAGTCTCCTAGCCCCGTATCCCTCACCCGCACCCTTCACCCTGCCCCTCCCTTTAAAACTTCTGTTGTATGTCTCACTCTCGGTCATTTCGTTATTCCCTGATCCAGCCCCTTCAGAGATATTCCCGTGGATTGTGTGCTGGAAATGGTGCTGAGTTCGCATACCTGCTGGGAAGGTGATCGCCGTCATAGATGGAGTGGGTGGGGAAGAGGGAGATGTAAGCATTACGTAGGGTGGGATATGGATTTAGTAAAAATACGTGGGTTTAAAGGTTGTGCAACTGTGCAGAATAGTCGTGGGACTGATCTTGTCTCAGCTCTAGTTAACCTTGTCATTTTGTCAGAATTAAAAGTGACTACTCTTTTTCCCTATCGCTTTTTAAAAATAATTCCATTGGCTGGACGGGGAACAGAGGAAAATTTACTAGAAAAATTCCTAATCTTGTTTGAAAAATTATTTTCCTTAAATACAAGGTTTTCCAGTTTAACCATATAGACCTTTGTATGTTGAACTGAATGAAAAGTGACCCTCTGTATTTTCCGTGTCAGTTTTTCTGATAGATTTTTTTCCCTAGTATTGTGGTGTTGTCATTGGAGAGTCCTATTGTAAACCCTATTTTAGAAAAAGGACTCAGCAATAGGTGTTTATTGCAGCTAGGTAGCATGTTATTCTGTAAACTTTGAGGTGGTAATTTAGTTAAACCTATTTACTGAGGGAGAGGAGAAAAATGTTAATAGTCGCTCCTGTGGTGCAATTAATAGTACTGCTTGTGAAATTTGCAAATGTAGATTTGTTAGTGCAGGTTTCACCTGTTAAATCTATTTGCACAGATGAGACTTAGTTGCGAACTAAGAATTTCTATTAGTGTGTGTTTTGAGAAATATGAAGGCTACTGAAGGGTGAAACCCCAACATGTGTAATTTGGCATTTTTTCCCTAAGATAAAAGCTCATGGTGCTTCCATTTCATCTGGTTTACATCTGGTAAAACCTCCAAATGATGTATATTCTGAATTCTGTGAAAGTTTATCAGTTTTTTTCCAGAACAGTTTGGAAAATATTGCTGCAGTATGGGAATGCATTTTCAAGTTGTCTGTGTATACACTTTCGGTGGTTTGATTTTTTTTTTTTAATAAAGGCATTCCTGTTTTCGCAGATGTTAGCAAAAGTAAAATGCAGTAGGTAAATATGAATACTGTTACCAGTGGGACTTGTTTCTTTTTTAAAATTGTATTGATTTATTTTATTTTGTTGGGGAGGGTTGGTAATTAGGTTTATTTATTAATTTTTTAATGGAGGTACTGGCAGTTGAACCCAGGGCCTCGTGTATGCTAGGCATGCAGTATACCACTGGGCTCTATACCCTACCCCCCCTTTTGGGGGGTGGGATCTTGTTTCTTTCTCTAATCTCTTTCTTTCCTGTTCCTGTTTCTTTCCTTTAATTGTGTTAGCTGATTCGAATTGTTCTTTGGGGGTTTTGCTGATCAGAATCAACCATGTTCTCTTACGCAAATCACTACCCAAAACATTTTTATGTATCCGTGCCTTCAAGTAATTTATTATAGTGTCGTATTTGCTCTCACTAGTTATGATTAGTTGACTTAATAATTATTTTTAGGAATTCCTAACACCAAAATATTGGAAATTGCTTTGTCAGTTTTAAGATACTTTCTTTTTCTCTACAAATTCCTTTCAAAATAAGTGAACAATATCATATTTTATTGCCTTTTTTTTTCTTTAAACTGAAGATGTGTCCTACATAGACTTTGAATGGGTGGAGGCATTCCTTCAGAGCAGAGGGCAAAAATCTGTCTAAGGTTACTTCTTGCTTTAAGTAGGTAGGACATCAATTTGTTTTCCTTGTAAGGCAAAGTGTTTGAGAATTTAGCAAAGTTTAAATTTGGATTTTAATTCCTGTTCCTGTGTAATTACATAGTAATTTCATCTGTCTAGTATAAGTTTTTATTTTTCTAATGGAGGTATTGGGGATTGAACCCAGGACCCTGTGCATACTAAGCACGTGCTCTGTTACTATGCTGTTATTCTTCCCTCTGACTAGTATAACTCTTGGTTTTGTTGAGAATGGCCTGATCAATAACTGTATCTAGGTGTATTCTAGGTATATTACAGGTGTATGCTTCTGCTTCCCTCCCCCCAAACTGCTGGAGATGTATCCTTAGACTTTGAATGGGTGGAGCAGAGCAGAGGGCAAAAAAAGAAAAGGAAGGAAGGAAAGAAAGAAAGAAAAAGAAAGAAAGAGAAAGAAAGAGAGAGAGAGAGAGAGGAAGAGAGAAAGAGAGAAAGAGAAAGAGAGAAAGAAAGAAAAATCTTAGTTGGTTTCCGGTAAGCTAGGGACCAGTCAGTAGCTCTGGCTTATATGGCTTATATGATGAATACAACTGTTGTGTGGTGCCTTTAGCTCAGTTTTTTTTTTTAACTCTGGAATGCTGAATAAACTTGAGTGATAAGCAATTTCAGTTGTTGAATGTTTAGAGATAACCAAGTAGGAGATAGGAAGACATATTTGGGAGTGAAATGGTACATGATGTTATATTAATTTTTCACTTACTGATAGGGTTAAAATTTAGGTCTCCATATTGATAAGTTAACAGTGATGCCCAGGACCCTCAGAATGACTTACTACCATTAACCAGTTCACAAGCTTTAGGTGGAAACTGCTTTTTCTGTGGTTTCTTTTTCTCCTCCGTTATTAAAAGTGTCTGAAGTTTGTTGAGTAAAGCAGTGATAATGATATACAGGTACAAATAGAAAAGCCTTGATTTGGTACCCTTCTAATTTCAGAAAAAGCCAGGTATGATATGTAGGTCCACTGTGTTATGGGAAATTCAGTTTTTTGGGTAGGAAATGGACAATGTTGCCCAACTATGAAGTAGTTGACTTGGCTTAGAGTAGATTTCAGAATGATGTTAATAGATGGTCTTAGAAGATTTATAATGTATATAAGCATATGAAAATGTATTTTCATGTTAAAACCATGAGATATTCTGCAGTAAAGATGGTGGTTTGGATTTGTTACACCTAGTTCTTTCTAAACTTTGACCACAGATTTTTAAGGAAAACCAAGACGTTAGTTTTTCTATAAAAATAATGAAGTATTCATACTGTGATGATATACTTTGCCTTTATATATGGTGAATTAGAGTTGCCTTTGATAAATCAGCTGAGAAGGAGGTTGACTATTGATAATTAAATAACCCCACACCTTTTAAAGTCTTCTGTGCTCATATTTAGGTTCAACTGTTGACCGTTTGTCAGCCATTGGCTTAGTTATCTAGCATCTTGAAGCCTGTTTCCTCATATGGGAATTATATGATGTAATAAATGTAAAAGATGTAGTATAGAGACTGTATATGTAAATATAGAATGATAAATATTATGAATAATGTAAGGTTACTAAACTATCAAATATTGTATATATTTCAATTTTTGCTGGTGACTACCTTTTTGCCTCTTGTTTCATTTAGCAACGTGAATATCAACTAGTTCTTTGTTGTCCATGTCGAGAGCTCGGAAAAAGTCTTAAGATTTGATTTTACCATATTTACAAGCTACTAGTTAGTCTGTTAATGTTTCATGGTTCCTGGCAGAAAAACGGGAGACTCCCAGGTCAGAAACAAATGATGTCATTACTCATAGCACTACAGACTCATGAAAGTCAGCACATTTGTGATGGTTTTCTGCTGCGTCCAGCGCAGCTTGGGACCATGCCTGAGGACAGGCGACGCAAGACTTAAGAAACAAACAGACAAAGTAAAGAGCAAAGATGGGGCCAGGGGACTCAAGATCTCGTGGATCCAGAGTCCTGAAAGCCTGGTCAACATCATATTTATTAGGAGTATACAGCTCAGAAAAAAAATGTGATCAAAGAGGTGAGGCTTTAGATATTCCATGCGATGAGCACTAAGTTCTGCTTGCTGAGTAACTGATTAATTTCAGACCTATCCCTTCCAGGAGCAATCACCCTCCTTGGGTTATGCAGAATTTCTAAATCTACCCTGTTATTGCCTACGGGACATCTTGAGATAGCAAATATTTCCCCTGGGCTTAACCACACGCTTTCATGCCAGAACAAAGTTCTGTTAATGGATGATCTGTCTTTCCAGGACCGTCCATTGTTTTACCCTAAGGAAATATCTGCCCTCCTTCGTGCCCTTATGGTCAATCTCAGGATTGCTCACCACAAATTGTCTTTAGCATAATATGTGCTATAGGTCATCTACTGCATAAAACATTAAAACAAAGCAAGCATGTGCATTTTAAGCAAGCTAGTGTGAATATAATATTTTAAGCTCATGGAAATTTAGGTGCGGCTTGTTTTCCAGCTGTTCGTTTTCCAGCAGCTTGTTTCCCAGCAGTTTTCCTTGTAACCAGGTCTCATGAGGGTGATGAGTCTAGATGGATGCACATGGTGGGTCACAGCTGAGGAACCAGGACCAAGAATCCAGCACTTTTTTTTTTTAAATCGATTTTTAAATTGTAGCAGACAACAAGCAAGCTAGTTTACCTCTCCTTAGGGGGGCAGTTGTGTGCTGTGGTAACCTTGACCTTCTTTGTTGCCTAAGTGACTTACTATAAGAATCCTCTCAGTCATGAACTAGATAAGCTTTACAGACTGTCACACTCAACAAGAATGTGCAGGGACACTCAGGCCCATGGCGGACTGCCTTACCCAGTAGTACATGTTCTGGATGAAATAACAAAAAGTGATTTTTAGGTGCAGTCGTTTACTTTTGTTTTCCATTTTAAAGAAGTATTGCAGTTTATTGCTC